ACATTATGATTGGTGTTAAAGGGTCAGCAGTGGGACTGAAGGACGTTCCTTCATTCACAGAGAATAATGAGAATCTCAGCTCTGAGTAAAAAAGCAAAAGACAAGTTGACAGTTTTACCATGTTGTTGATGGCAAACAGTGTGTTATCAGCCTGCTGGTAGAAGGAGGACACCTCCAGAGCCAGCTGAAGATTTTCGTGGTAGTTTTTCAGATGAGACTGGACCTTCAGCCACCTACACAGAGAGCAGACGAGAAACAACTTATTGCAGTCCTCGAATAATCTTTACATTGAAGATGCATCATGCTGCACAGCAGTTAGACAAGAGGGGACAAAGTGTACATTTTATTGATGTGTTTCCTCCTGGTGGAGATGTTCTTGCCATCTGTCTTCCCCTGTTTCTCCAGTTTTAGAGCCAAGTGGTTGATCTCCTCGTGGAGGTTTCTGTAGAGCTGCTCATCCTGCAGAGAAACAGAGAAACACGGTCCAACTATGACCTCACCTTGTCTTTACCATTCACCCTGAGAGACAAATTACACTCACGCCATAGATAAATAACTTGGAATCCTCTGGGGAAAAATATGTAATATAAAACAGTCACACATGGGAATGTGTATAAGTTTATCTCCAGAATGTGGTTAAGCAGGTATACTGTGTTTCTGGTCATTTTTGCTCGTACCTGTTTTAGATCTAAAATTCTCCTGGTCAGCTGCATTTTGTCAACATTTTCCCCCAGGACGTTCACCAGAGACGGCTCCTCTTCCTGCTGGCACATACAAAACACTGTGTTTACATCCCCCATTTATTTGGAACCTGACTATTATTTCTTCTCAGAGGCAGCAGGATATCAACTATAAGCCCTGCTAGCAAGGAGGATGCTGAACAGAGGTGGCCGCCAGCATTACGGAGAAACTTTGAACTTGATACTAATGCACAGAGGAAAGAATGAGAGAAACTAAATGGTGAATAGCTACATCCACCATTACATTCCCACTGGTCCATTATCAATCATCAGTTCCCCCCTGTGCCAGACATGGGTTTGAGCAGGGAGATAAACACGGGCCTGAAGATGATTGGGTCTTTGATAATAACAGGCAGATGTTTTACACTGGTGAATATACACAAACAAGAGATGTCTTCAGGATATGTCAGGAGATCATTTCCTAGATTAGCAAGTGCTGCTTTGTTTTTATGCCAGTTATGTTAGCTGTCTTTCCACTCAGGAGTGAAACATCTGAGAAGGTGCCTTAAAATAATCAAATAATGTAGAAGAAGAACTTGCTTCACATTTCATCTAATTTCACATAAGGGCTAAATTTGACAATAAAATTAAATATAAAAGCAATCAATTTTATCGAAAAAACTATATACTACTTACACATAGTATAACAACAGTAAACGAGAGGAATTGTTTTCTCTACCTTCTCTTTAATCCATGCCTCCAGCTTGTCCACTTTCTTGTTGAACTCCTGCAGGTTCTTGGCCCCTCCGAGGGCCCTCGTCTGATTTGCAGCCGTCTGTTTAAGGGTCTGCCACTGGTCCCTGAGCTGGCCTAGCTGCTTCTTAACCAGGTCGGACGTAGGGTTCAGCTTGCAGATCAGCTGCTCACCCATCTTTTGAAACACGAGGGCACAGTTCAGATACGGTGAAGCAGCCAGACTAACATGCAACAGTGGCTAAGCACATCTGACACCTCTGGTTTGTCAGACACATTATTTCGCATGTTGAAAAACTGCCATTCACACTCTCCCGGTTCCGAATATATGCTTTCTGTGCTGTTTGAGTGTCAGACGAGGTTAATTATCAGCATTGAAACATTTCTAAACTTTTTGTTCGGAGGGCGAAATTATAAACAGGCCTGACAGAGCCATCTGGAACACAGAGGGTCTGCTTTTCTCTCCGCTCGACTGGAAATGCCTACAAGACTATTAAGTTGTGTGTTATGTGAGCCGACAGACTCTTTTAGCCCCAGAGACAGTGATTAATGGTCCCATTCAGTCCTGTTAAAAAGTTAAAATAATTATTTACTTTTGGACGTGTTGCTCTGGTGTGTCTGCTCTGGTGACATGGTAACATTTAATTTGGTGTTGAATCGTTTTGTTACCTGGTTGAGTTGAATGAGCGTGTTCTCAAAGTCTTTGAGGTCCCTCTGGAGCGTCTGCGAGGCCTCCTCCCAGTCCTGCAGGGGGCAGCGCTGAATGTTACAGCCATCCTTCAGGTCCTGCAATTTGCTTCTGATCCATGCCTCAGCCTGCATCACAGACACAGACAATAATATGTGTTACACTGTGCATGGCTCTGTTTATCGACAGGATTTAGCAGTTCAATGATATTTCTGTTAAAATGACATCTGGGAAAGCATCAGTTTCAGCAGATGTAATTTAACATGGCTGAGGTTTTATGTAGCAACATCAACAACTTCAGGATGTGCAGTGATATGTGCTAAGAGATAACAACTGAATGCCCCCCAAGTGGATTTTGTATATTTTATTTATAAATAAATTAAATAATGCAAGTTTCATAGATCAGCTCTGCAATGCACTAAGAGCAATGGTGGAGAATAATAGTGAGTGAAACTTTAAATACACACTATATATCAGAGAGTAGAACTGCATATGTATTAGTTATTGCTCAGTGTTATACAGTGTTTTTCAATGACATTTATATGTAGAGCTTTCAAATACAAGAGTCAACAGTTCACTCAACACTGTGTGGTTACAGTGTAATTTCTGCGGAACAGGAGAGCAAACAGGCCACATTTTCTTCCTGAGTTAGAGTAATATGCAGCCTCCGACACATTAAGAACAGCCCTTTGTTCTCCCATGTTATATTATGCAGAGCAGAAGTTTATCTTGGCAAACGCCTGGCCTCCATTGCATAAGGCTTTGTCATGCAGGGGCTACATTCTCTGGCAACATTTGTATGGAGTGAGAACTGCAAGCCGAGCGGCCAAATTCAGAAATGGTTTGAAAGTATAAGCTTGTTTTCTGTAAAGAGCCCAGTGTGAGAGGCCATGACCCGCCCATGTCTCAATAAGCTAATGGACTCATCAAGTCTGGTTCTTCCACTTCTCAGAATGATCCCCCATGAGTCACACTGTTGGTCTTCAACTGTTGTTTCTATGTACTCTGCCAAATGTCAAATAACAACTGAGCGTGCATACATGTTATTATAACATTACATCCAACCATTATTTCTTTGGGAATTGAATGTGATTGATATTTCATAACAGGCTGTACAGCTACCTGTCATTTGAATCAATAAAACCTCAGGACCGCACACGACACTGCCATTAAAACAACTCTTTGTACGAGATTATAATGTGATGTCGATCCTCCTGGGAGAGGTTGGTCATTAACTTTACAAGGCCCCCGGGGCAGCGGAGGTATTTCTGGATTTAACAGAAGGAAAAGAACTTGACAAAACAGGCCTGCCCCTATCTCCTCACACTGAGTCCCATGGCATTATAATGACCTCATACAGGAAGTCTATGATTCCCTTGTTTCTTCCTGTCCACTCTCCACAACAATGGACTGTTTATCGAAATGTTCTGTTGGGGTCTTTGTCTGTGGCCACGAGAGTAGACAGAGTTGACAGGAGCATGGAGTTTAGATTGTTGTTAGATTGATGGGGTTATGTTTTTATGGAAATTCTTTGGCCACACAGGAAAACACAACCGCAGTCAAAACAGAATCAACTTTAAAGCGTTTGGTGAGTGTAGAAGATATTGCTCTTTTTCAGTTTTTTCTTTTTTAAATGTAAAAAAAAAAGAGCATTTTAAGTGGAAAAAACTACATTTTGCACTTTCTATTTTTTTTCAACTAACAATCCACATTTTGAATCTCCTACCTTGCACTGTGTCTCTGAGAAGACTGTGGGAGTGGAGGCTTCACTACTTTCTCTGTCACGGAAACGGGACAGTGAAAGGCGAGATGTTTTGCAGAGCGGCCTCGGACACATGGCCCTCAATGCTTTTCCATGTGGTGACTTGTTTTGCTTTAGGTTAAAGAACTATAGGGGTCTCTCTCTGGAGAGCTCACTTCCACGGTCATACTTTAATATTGTAATAACAAATTTTTTGTCCTTGTCAAACTCAAGGGTCTATAAGGGCAGAGGGTGCTGTAATGATGAAACAGATTGCTAAGCCCCTCAAGGAAAATTTGTGATTTTTGGCTAAATAAATACAATCTGTCTTCACGGCTCTTTAAAAACTACAATTTCAAAATAGAGTTAAAATACAAAAGGCTTTTAAGAGTGAGAGAAACACAGGCTCCAGCTCAGAGCAAAGGGGGCTGCTATAAGCTTGTTAAAATTAACAACGTGCTAGAGAGCCGTTCTCAACACATGCATACATCATATGTTTCCTTCAGCTGACACATACTAAATTAATTTCCTGAGTGGCCTATCACTGGGACAGTTGCTCAACAGAACGGCTGATGAAAAAGCCAACTGTCTGACAAAATGTCCCTCTGCCGAACCCTCTGAAAAATGTCCTTGTATGCTGGGGTGGACGCAGCGATGAGATAACACAAGCAGTTGTGCGGCTTGGCTGAGTCTCTCTGGGCCATAGGCGTGAAGAGATGGAGCCAAACAATGACCTCATCCCTAAATAATTGCTTCACTTGTGGCGGTTTCCTCCCTCCCTCTCTCTTCTCCCCTCAGCTGAACACAGCTCACACAGTTCTCTGGACAAAATAGGAACCGGTGCATTTTTTGTTCTCCTTGGACGACAGGCAGCTTCCATTCTGATTCCATCTCAGCAGCGTAACTCGTTGCCTTTGAGATAAACCCACTCCAGCTTCTTTTCATTAGAGGAAATGAGATATTCTGATAAGTTTAATTTTAAAGGCGGGAGGGGGGGGCAGCAGCTTCTCATGAACAGGGATTTTTGATTTATTTAGCATGAGAACACATGTTGGTTTAGTGTGTCACATTTTACCTGCAGCACTTCCTTGTTGAAGAGCGAGTTGCGCTGAGTGAAGCAGTCGCTGTGGGATGCAGCAGCTGCCGATGCTTCATTCTGAGTGTGTGGGTGACTTTCTATCCTCTGGGGCTCTTTCTTCTGTGACTCAGGGACTGAAATCTGTGGGAACACAACGCAGGTGACACAGTGTTGAAAATATGAAGACAACTTGAGCCATTTTGATCGGATTAAACCAGATAATGCTTGATGTTTCTGTAAATAACACATCCATTCACGTAGATTCCACTTTCTTTTAACCCAGAGACATCACCAACATGTGTCAGACTGGCCCCAATGTTCCTCAACACAAACCTGTCAGCACATGAGATGAAATGAACTCGACTGACACGTCACTAATGGACATTCCTGCTGTTCTCCAATCAGGAAACATCTGGGCACACGAAGGAAGCAGGAGCGGGCCGACCCTCGGACGATTTATTTTAACTGTCATCTTTATCACCTTTAAAGGACTTTAGTTATGTTCATGCCTCCACCCCTGAATGAGTAAAAGCACCTCCACCTATCATTTTTTGTCATATGAATGAATAATACATGAGTGGAGGATAGTCAAGGTATTGTTGTGGTTACAGACCTGACGTTTTTCTGTCCAAAAAATGTGAAATATGAGGCCATTGCTTTGTCACTGTGTTATTGTTACCACCATGAGGACGAGACCTCACCAAGTTTTTTCTTTTGTTAACATCTTCCCTGACCTCATGTTTTCCAGTAAGCCTTGCCTCAGCTGGGTCTGCTGCACACATACACACTGTTGACTTCAACAAGTAGCAGGCCAAATCCAATCCTGTCTTCTCAACAATATCCTACAAATACACTTGTACTACTTTTCCTCTATTTGTTCAGAAATGCACTGCTCCCAAGTCCGGGAGTTCCACCTCTTGTGTAACTTTGCTCCAAATGTATAATATAATAAAGTGAGTCTGGAAAACACACCACATGACTTCACTTCCTAAAGTCCGAGATACTCATCAGCTCCACTGACGGCTGTTCAGACCAGACCCCATCGTCTCACACACAACAAAACATCTGTTTTACTGCAGACTGGATACAGTTAGAAGAAACAGCATCTTTTTCAAAAATACAACACAATTGGAGAAAATGATCTCATAATTAATATGAGAGAACTTTTTTAATCAAAGGTCCTCTTACTGAAACAAACCAAACCGCCTGTTATAGGCGATCTCTCTTTTTTTTTTAATGACAGATGGCATTTACCTGTTGCACATATTTCTCTCCGTTCAGTCTCACCCTGGTTTGTCCGTGTGTGGGCTGATGTTCATCACCATCTTTTCTGAGTAAAACCTTCAACAAAGACACAAAATAAATTGAAAGATAAAATATACGGCTACAAAATAAGCTGTGAATAAGCAGAACCAGATGGACAGGACAGCTGAAAAACCAAAAGTTATCATTCTAAGGAGGGGTTGTGCACACGACGATAACTATCACTATGTGACAATTTCTTCTTTAACATCTTGATCCATTTTCTACAAATAAATGTGTCCAACAATATGTAAATTATATATATATATGTGTGTGTGTGTGTTTGTGTGTGTTTGTTCTATTTTATCCAAAGTAGGTTACTCTGTAACTTTTGGCCTTGTAAAGCACTTTATGACTCTGAGTACAAAATGTCTATTTTCCATCCTGTTTGTGACCAGATCAACATTTTACACATCTTTGAAAACTCTTTATTCAGCAAATACTTCAAAATGTAATCCAATAATATAATTAAAATATTGCAACAGTAAAACTAATGACCACTGTGTGTGACATGTATTATTTCTTTTATTGTGAGGTTATTACGTGTGAACTGTACCTTAAACTGAGAATGAGGCTTATTCTCACAGCTCACTCCCACAATCCTGGGCAGATGTGGATCTGATGTGCTGGTGACGTTGTTGTTGTTGTTATTGTTGTTCTCAGATGTTGACCCTGTGATAGAAAGCTGCCGTGCTGGCCCCGTGCTCTCTGACCTCTCTTTCCCAGAGATGGTGATCTTCTTGATGGATCTGGAGACAGCGGAGGAAGAAGAGGAGGAGGAGGAGGAGGAGGCGACGTTCTGGTTCAGGTGGTCCTCCGCTGCCATGTGCTCCTCCTGGTCGCGTTTCACGGGGGCTGCTTGCTTGACGATGGGCGAGACGAGGCAAGGGTCCCGCGCACAGACCTGGGATCGGCTCAGGTAGAGAGAGTTCAGGTTGTGCTGCAGCGCGCAGTTATCCAGACTCGTGCTCTGCAGATAGCTCTGCGTAAAATCCTGGCATTTTGGCACAGCGGGGACCGACAGTCTGGTCCCTATGGTGAAGGGCTGCACCTTCCTCACGATGCTCTCAGACATGACCAGAGTCTTGATAAGAAAGCGAATAAACTGAAGTCCAAATAAACAAAAAAAAAGAGTCTGTCACATCCCTTTGCGCACTCTCCTCCACTCAACAGTTGTCCATTCTGTGTTCAGCATGCAGGGGAGAGAGGGCTGAACAGAAAGTGGGAGGGAGAGTTCAGTTCTCCACCTTCTTGTGCATGTTGAGGACACACAGCACGCAGCCCAGGACGGCTTCCTTGGACTCCTGGGATCGAATGCGGTCCCAGACGTGGCGCAGCGCTGTGCCAAGGTGTGCAGCGCCTGTGGAGAGGCCTCTCCTTAGGAACTGTGCCACTGAGCCTGCCAGTTTGCTACTGAGGAGCCTGATAACCAGGGACCGCAGGAGGATGAAAACTGGCATGCTGCTTGACTGAAGAAAAAAAAAAAAGGAAGCTCAAAAAAAGGAGGAGGCTTGTTAGGGATGAAGTCACCACCAACACACTCCACTCTCTCTCTCTTTCTCTCTCTCTTTCTCCTCTGTCAGGAGCCACAAAGCAGAGTGTGGGCTGTGAGGCCTGGCTGTCAAAACTTCCTCTCTGAACCTCTGAACAGAAAACCTGCTCAGATAAGAAGCGAGGAGGAATGGAGTCTGAATCAGTGACCTCTTCAATCACAGCTTATCCTCTATGAGGTAATATATCCTCAGCTGAAACACACACACACACACGGCCTTACCTCCACCTCGTGGAAGTGCAGGGAAACCGATTCAGGCCTGAGGTGCTGCACAAAAAAACTATTTCAGACGCAGAAAAGTCTTCTGAGGAGAGAATAATCTTCAGGAGCTCATGTGAGCGCTGCCTGTCCAGGAGTGAGAGTGCCTTCCTCCGCTCCGAGCCTCATCAGTGTGGAACAGTTGTCACTCAGGTTACAGCTGACTGGAGCAGAACATCCCTGCTGCTCTGCTCCTTAAACCACAGAGAGCTGCTGCCATGACATGTGTGTGTAGGGGGGGGCAAATAACAGTCAAGCAGATGATGACCTCCTCCGCTCCTTAATGGTGGCCGGGGTTCAGCAGAGCACATGTTGGGGCTGACGGATTGGAATGGCAGGGCTGGCGTGTGTTAGGGGAGTGGGGGCGCACAGCAGTGAACATATTTACAGGGAGCACTAAAGACAATCTGCTTGCACTGGTAAAAGTTTTTTCCCAAAAAAGCAACGCTCACCCTTCACCTCTGACGTGACCCCTGCACCTGGTCCAACAGCTCAGCCACTTAATTTTCTGAGATTTGTGTTTGCAAAGATGTCCATGCAGTAAATCACATAACATTTAAAAACTAGAAACATTAAACTAATGTTTTAATTCATGTGCTCTTGTGTCTCCATTGGGGCTGCTCTTGCTTTAGAGCCAGCGGTGGGACAGCTCAGCAGGACTCCATATGGTTGAGGTATAGCCCCGGAGTCGACACGGTTAATGATGCTTTTAAAAGAGCTCTGGTTTCATGATGAAGTCATCTGAGGAAGAGTTTTAATGTGTTGCAGCTTGAAATCAGAGATAAATTCTGCCCAGGCTGGGTGGTGTTCACGGAAGGCCTGATGGGTGGAGTTCCAGGGGTTTGGCCAACTTTTAAATGCCATTTCCTCGTTTGTATTGCCGAGCGAGTGGCTCTAGAAGTGTGGGGTTTATGTGTGCCAGTACACTGTGTGACTATGACACCAATGTTGGACGTGTTCAAGTGGAAAATTTGGAAATGTGGGAGGTTAATTTTAGTTAAAGATCATTTTATTGTTGGGAAATAAATATATTTTAAAATCCTTTTACAAGTCAAGTCAAAGCAGAAACTTATCAAAGCAAATAAGCATAAGTCCCTAACAGATTTCCCTCATTAAAATAATTTCTCTAACTCCTGACTGTATAACATTTACACGAGAACAATATACAAACACATAAACTGGCTACACAGCCGCACTTTTACCACCATGATAAATAGCATTATTTGATCGACTGCAAAGATAACACTGTCAAGAAGAAATATTGTTATATTTTTAAACATTTATTATCTTCACATTCATACATAAAGAAACTTATGACAGAAACTAATCTTTCTTAGTGACCATAAGGAGCATTTTGCATTGAATAAGTTTCACTACAAGGTTACCTAGGCCATAAAGAATATCTTTATCACCTAGACTCAATATAACTCATTTTCCAGAAATGAGGCCAAAATATTCTGGATACAAATGCTGCCATCTTGCCTATTTGGAGCAAGAGTCTGCATTGTAGCGATCGGGGATGGAGCCGTGGTTGCAAGGTCCCGCTGATACACACCAATCAGGAGTCAGCCTCAGCTGTCAATCATGACATTTCACCCTGTTTTCATAGCATAAAAAAAGTATTTAAACCAATCTTACTGGAAAATGAACACTTTATGGCACTTGAAAATGTGGGAAAAACTATCTAAAATGACAGAAACCATCTTTGAAAAAAAATGTATTTAATGTGTACTCTGACTTTTTATTCACATATATTTCCCTTTCATTAACATGGAGGAGGTAGGATATTTGACCTGTACTGTACATAACCACCAGGTGGGAATTGAGGCACTTTGGCTTCACTTTTGGGGAGTGGTCGTGTCGTCCATCTTTACATACAGTCTATGCTTTATCCCCTAAGTGAAAAACTCCTGGTGCAAAACTTTTCCAGCAGGAAGATCTGTTTGTGTATGCTCCGTTTTAGTGAGTAAACATTTATAAAGGCCGGAGTAGTTTGCTCACAGAGTCACTGTCAGGTTAGATTTGAACCAGGCGTCCCACCTCTGCCAACCGAGTCCGATTAGACTACTGTAACACCTTCCTCATGTTGTTTACCCTGGAAGCCCTCTCCTCTCTCCTCACAGCTCTTTCACGTCCTGTGTGCAATGTTTTAGCTGTGCTGCCCACATCCTTAACAAATGATTTAAACATCACCCTTCATCTCAACGCTTCTTTATTTGTGCCATCTTTCTTTATTGGCATCTTTGAGGATGGATGTTGAGGGCACAAGTTCTGACCTCATGGCCAATATCACTGCCTCCCAAGATGATAATAAAAAACTGATGTTTTCTCACCACAGGCTCTAGTTGGTGATCACCCTTGTTAGACATCTTCCCTTTGTTTAATTAGCGTCGGTAAATCCAACTTGGAAGACTTGTTTAAGGGGTGATGTCACAGAGTCTGCCCGCATGAAAGGAGAGCGAGCGCCTCGTCGGAGGAGAGAGTATTGGGAGCTCGAGGGGGTCTGTACTTTTCCACTCGGTGTATATGTCATCACAAAGGCATGATCAGTACTGCTGGTCAAGTTTCAGCGCAGATAAGATGAAGTCTGTGCTCTGGATCATGATCAGAAAAGAAAAGTTTTGGAGTTTTAAAAATGGTTGATAAAAGAGAGGGAGCAGGAAAAAGAAAATACTGACTTCACGTGTCACGTCAGGCGAGCATGACCTGAGGCTTTTAGGTCTCACCCCAACAATGGGCACAGAAAGCATCCTTGATCCACTGAATTCAACCCAAACTTTCATTTTAACACATTAGGCTTGTGACTCATTAGAATCAAGCCTTTGTTCATTAGTTTTATTGTTATTTTCAAAGCTGCATGGGCTAATGTTGCCAGGCCCGGATCAACATTAAAATGTCATCATTTGCTTTTGGAGCCAAAAACACTATTTTAAAGTTTTTACAAGCAGGACAGACAAAGCACAAACAGACCATCTCCAAACACAAAGTCTCTGGCAAAGTTTTAAAGCAACACAAGTGTATTTTACTACTTAGCTACTTTTTACTTTAAACAGAAAGAACAAAAGACTATTGAGAAAGTTGTTTTATCTGTTAGACCTGCGAACGACAATGCAACATTCAATCTTAAATACAGCGAGGAACTGTATATGTTAAATTGAGAAGTCATAAATTTGTACTCGTGCTTATCTGTTAATCTATTGAGCTTTAAATTCCTTTGTTCTGAGCTCACATGTCTGAACCCACATCTTGACAACGACCTAGCCTCTCTCAGACGGGTCGCCTGTGGGCTTTTGTACTTCAGCATTAATACGCAGCATTAACAATGAAACCATTTGTGCTTGAACAGAACAACATGGCAGCTGGAGTTCAAGAACAAAAAGAAAATATAAACATATTTCAAAAGGTCCACATTATTTCTTCCCAGTCCAATTTTAAACTTCTTCTAACATTAGAGCGGGATGGGTCCCAAAATAGATTATATTATAACTTCAATCAAATCCATCCAGAAATGAATAATTGAAAGCTGTCTGCTGAAATAAGAAATGATTTATTCGTTGATTTAATAACACAACCGTCACACCCAGTTTTGATGCTCACCTGAAGCAATATACGACCCAACGAGCCTGCATACTTATCAGCTGACGTTCACTCACACACGCACGCACACACACACACACACACACACACACACA